ATATTTCAGCAAAAGTTCATTATATTTTCAATGAATTATTTCCATCAGATACAAATATCTCAATTGAGATCTTACATGCGAAATTTTGCGGAAACCTCAACTGAGAATTCAATTGAGAATTTAATTGAGAAATCAATTGGGAATTCAATTGTGATCTCAATATAAATTTTTCAGTAGGGAAGTCATGACAAAATAAAATCAGTTGTAATACTTATTAGTTTAACATTAATTAGTTGATATTTAGTTAACATTTATTAATATTTTATTGCTATCCCGTAAGTTCCAAGTAAGCAAAAAACATTACCACAATATTATTATAACATTATTCAATAATATATAATATTTTCAAATATGTCGTTTTTAACATTACACAGAATATCTATACAAAGAAACTTTGACATTAATTTGGAGGTTGCGGTAATATTAAAATTACATATGATCATAACGTTGTAAATAAATACTGCAATTTACATCTTTTTAACATTCTGATATCGTTCCTTTCTCTTTTCGGTAAATTAGAAGGTTATCCTAAATCAATGTTTCTTATTAAAAAATATTCTATTAAACAATAATAATTCTAGTTGGTTTCGTAAAAAATAGTTAGTTTCGTAAAAAATAGTAATTATGTTTTTCGTTATTGAGTAATAATCCCCCAGATAGTCAAACCTGCGCGAGAAGATTTTGCGCAGAATCTGTCAACAGTATCTGTAGACAGAATGACAACAGATTGCACACAGAATCTGTTCTGACGACAGATTGATGACAGATTGTGCGCAGAGCCTGTCGATAGACTCTGACGACAGACTGGTGGCAGATTGCGCGCAGATAATGTTTTTCTGTTTTGTAGATAGGCTATTTAATTCTATCAAGGACCATATGTACGCTATTAAATTGGGTAGTTTCACATGCACACTATGTAAAACTCCGCGAGGAATCAAGATAATTATATTGTGCAATAATTGTACACATATACACAATAAAAAATAATTTTTACTTTTTAAAATTACACATTTCTTATAAAAAAAGCAATAATAATAAAAAAATAACGAGTACAGATATAGAATAATACAGATATAGATATAGTACAACAGTTAAATGGCCAGTTTAAATGGCCATTTAAAGGCATACATATGCCATCCCTGGTAAAAATTGTTCTCATAATTTTTCATACAATTTCTCCTATTATTATTTTTTTTTAATGTCATTATGTTATTAAATCTGAACGATTTAACCGTCATGCAATAAGTACTGAAGGTAGTAGCATCGAATAAAATATTAGTCCCGCCATGTAAATAACGTTTACAGAATTTTTGTGATGGTTTATTATATCATGCTTCGATTTTGATAAAATTTAATAATTAAATCTGAATTGACAATTGATCAAATTAATTCACACATCAAATTAAAAGCACAGCAAATTAAAAGTACAGTATTTTATTAGCATGATGGAAAAATGTCATTATCTGCTGTTTTATTGCAGTAATTTTCTATACAGTCCCTGAAGAAAATTAATTTCGAATTATCGTGCCGGTCTCTCTTACATTATTTATACGCTAAATGGTTTCGTCTATATTTCGTCTATATTTCGTCTATATTTTGCGGTTTAAAAGGTAAACAAATTCTAAAATTTTTCTTCCTTAAATCTTAAATAGGCAATACAAAGCATTTTTTATTAAGTGAGGAATTGGCGTAGTGTCTAAGGCGACGGACAATTATCCAAAAGATGTCTTCAGTTCTAGTTCGAACCTCATCAGAGAAAATCTTAAGAATTATAAAAAAATAATGTAGAAAAACTTTTTTTTCATTGTATTTTACGAGTATTTATGAGAAAGCGCTTATTCTATGAGTAATTATGAAAAATTATGAGAAAATTTTTTACCAAAGATTTAATTGAAGAATCTACGAAACGACAGAATCTACGCTTAATCTGCCGTCAGAATCTGTCGACAGGCTCTGCGCGCAATCTGCCGCCAATCTGATATCAGAATCTGTTAGCAGACGGCGAATAATATTCATTCAATAAAACTGTGTCATTTTGAGCGTTTAATCCGTGTTTCTGACCCTTGATAAAAAACATCTCGGCAATTAGTCTTCTGTGATAATTCAGTCCTTTGTAAAATTTTCGTGTTGGTCCAATCAAAATCATTAAAGCGTTATATTTTTTAAAATTTTCTACGCTAGTTAAATAATTAGGAGATTGTAACAATCTATCTCATGTGACAACTAGTTCATATCTAGTTTACATCTATTTATAGGTCCCAGTAAACACACCAATTAATTAATATTAACATTACATCAATGTTATAATTTTCTACTCAACAATATAAATGTAATATAATATGTTGAATACAACATTTATTTAGTTAAAATTTATTTATTATTATTGAGTTAAAATTATAACATTAATATAATAGGTATCACTATGTGAGCGCGAGCGTGGCGTGGCAGACAGCACACTGGTCTGCCATGCTAGAAGTCCTGGATTCCATCCCAGACAGAGCTTGGAATTTTCATACGCTCGTGTCTCCTCTTCGGAGGTCTGGCAAATCTCTAAGAATATCCTTGCTATGAGGACCTCTAAAACTTGCCGTTCGGAATCGGCATTAAACTGTAGATCCCATATTCCTGTGTATAATCTGCGTGCGCACCACAACCCAGATAGCACGATAAATTCTTTAAATATTCCTAAAGTTATCTCTCCTTTCTTGAATTATACTTCCTTAGGAATTCGTGGAAGAATACTATAAGAATGATTTAGGAAGTTACATGCACCATGATTGGAATTCCTCAGAACTTCTTAGAGTATTTATATAGAATTATTTCAACTCAAAAAGATTTCTTCGGATTTAATAAATTTTATTGTATCCACACGAAAGAAAGATCAGAAACTTTGGCCGGGGGGTGCTTGTGTGTATCTGTAGATGTCCACTTTTAATGCCATATGAGATGAAAAACACCAGGAATCTGCTGAGATCGAACTCGGGTCTTCCGCTTACCAAACAACCGCTCTTTCCACTGAGCTATTTAAAACTTCATGTTTGTGGCATCTATATATCTAGTGAAAAATGATTCGTTGATTGACATCAAAATAATATCAAATTGACGTCGGTTTGACGATTTCAACGTCTATTTGATGTTATTTTGACGTCAATCAATAAATCTTTTTCGCTGGATATATACTGTTCTAACTGAGCTTCAAATGTAAGTAAAGCGTACTTTCAAATATGTAATTCAAAATCCAAGAATAAATGTCTTTCAAATAATGCGATTGAGTTTGTTAGAACTGTATATGGATTTTAGTAACATAAATACAAACTTAAGGATAAAATATACTTCGTATAAATCTATTTATTATTGATACAAATGAAAATTTTATATATGAAAAGTTATTTTAACACTAATTCCCTTTCTTTGCCCTATTATATAAAACTATATAATTAATTCCACAAAATATAAATAACTGTAAATAACAATAAATTAATATATGTAAATATGTAAATTAATTATTATATACTCACTGGCATGTACTGAATATAGGTGCAAAAAGTAGTTGCTATAAACAAAATATTTGTAAGGGCTAAGGTAGATGAACGAGACGTAAGCGTCGTAGTCGTAGACGTAGACTAAAATAAGGCAGAGAAAAACGTAAACGTAAGTCATGAGAGGCTATTAGCCTTACATTTACGTTTTTTTGTCTTACTTTACGTCTACGATTACGACGCTTACGTCTCATTTTCTGCTTTAGTCCTAATTCCTCACGAATTCTCAAAGTGTTCTAGGAATTAAGTTTCCTTCTAGGAATTAAGTTGCGAAGTATTCGCTATAATGAAGTCCTAAGAAATATTTCAAGACGAACTTACTGTGATTAATTCTTTAAGAATTCTTCGGGTATTCATTTCTAGTTCTATATCTATTCTTTAAAATGAATTCTCTAGGAACTTCTGTTCATCTTTATGCTACCTGGGAAGACATATGAAAAAGGGATAGGCCAAGGTGCTTTCTAGAACTGTCGCGCCATTAATAATAATAATAATATTACTATTAATTGATGTTTACTGAGTAAGATATAAGGAACTACATACACTCGAGCGGTTCGAAAAATGCCAAATGTTTAAATTTTTGTGCTGAACACGTTATGTAAGATAATTTTTCGGACAATTCTTCATATTTTTTTACATA